AAAAGACTCTGCGCGCACGAGGTCACAAATTTTCAATGGTAGCTCGCATATCCGAGAAAATGAAAAGTGAGGCGACAATTTTAATTTGTAATTTTTACGTTCAGCTTATCAATACGTTATAGAAAAAGTAAAAAATGCGATTATGTTGTAAAGTAAACGAAAACCTCTGCATTTATGCATTTTGACGATCAGTGTCTCATACGAAAACACTTAGCAATAGTTATTTTTAATCTATCTTGCATTTCTTTCGAGATATATCAATTTTTCAGTGTTTTTAGGATTATGTTGTCATATTATAAGTGCAAAGATAAAAACTGGATGGATAAACTCATAATATTATTTACGATCAAAATATCATCTAAGGTTCTCCGTCTATGCACGTCGTATTCAAACTTTTACGTGTCTAGTGTTAATAGTAATAAAAAATTACAGCTTCGCCTAAAAATATTTCAGCCCACCAAATATTATTTATTAGATGAAGTGAAGACAAAGTTTTATTTTTTTCACATTAATCCACGTGGATTTTAGCAGCGGTGCTATCATAAACTTATATCAATTTTATTTAAAATAACTTGTTACTATCATAATATTTAATACATAAGTCATACAGTAAAAACATTTAAATTATAACTTTGTGACGTGGCAAAATTTGCTTCACAATTTTTGCACGTCACTGTCGACGCCCCTATTCTGAAACCAATTAGTGTTCTTCATGGGATCCTCGCATAACCGAAATCTTCGTGTGTTTTAGAAACGACCAACGGTAAACCAGAGAAGGAGGCACACACCTAGACCAGAAATGTAGCGTGCGTACGAGTGAATGTGAGGATGTAAGTGTCGAAGCGTCGGCACGTAAGAATGATCCGGAAGGTAAGGTAGGGTTCAGATAAACCGTTTGCGCACAAGTAGGTGATCGGATGAGGGACGAGGGGATACCGACCCAAGGGTCAGGGAGGAGAGCGCGAGACGGAAAGGGCGAAGAGAAAGGGCAGTAGAGTTTCGACCATCGAGAGAGAGAGCTGTCGAGGGCGAAGAGAGTGTCTGCGCCATCTTTTCTTTTTTTTTGCTGTCTCGTTTTTCGTGGCCGGTACTCGAGGCGAGCATCTCGTTGTCGATTCCTTTTCCTAGGGCGTACGCGGGGATCGGGAAAGGGGTCGAGCTGTACGACGGAAAACGCGACAAGTGTGTGTAGGAGAGAAAGTGACGGCACCTGAGGTACCGTGAGAGCGAGCGAGAAGAGAGGAGAAATAGGGCTGATCCAAGCCTGCTTGGCCCTGAGCGCTGGTCGCCCCGCCGACGAGACGTCCTCCTCTGACAACCCTAGCCAAGCCGAGAAGGAGGGAGCTTTACGCAGCCGGGGAGCAGGATAAAGGGACTCCGGAGCGTCAACTTCCCGGACCACCATCCGCGACGACACCGCCGTCTCGCTCGCCTGCGAGAGACGAACAACATCACCAAGGTACCGTGAATAGGCTAGCGGGGACTCCACAGGGGGGGAAAAACATCGAGAGTCTATATCGAGGGCGAGAGCCACGAGACGGGGATAGGGAACGCGTCGAGTGCGCCCCGGTCAGGCCTCCACCGAGACGCGGAGACGGGCACGCCGTGCCAGTGGGTGTGTGAGAGAGAGAGAGAGAGAGAGAGAGAGAGGAAGAAAAGGGCGCATGAGACCGAGAGCGCGTGAGTAGTCGCATAGCCGTGGTGTAAGGGCGGGACGGATCGAGAGCCGGCGTCGGGACGCTGTGAGTAGTACGGCGGGTTTGTGACTTCTCCGGTCGTGACGGCAATCCACGCCCAGGACCTATAGGTTACGCCGAGTGTGAGTGTGGGGGTGTGTAGGTACGGACAGGCTACCACGCCCAGGGGGCCTAATTCCAGACCGAGAGTAGTGTGAGAGGGAAAGTGGGTGTAAAGGCGCGTGAGTGTGTGTGTGTGAACGGACTAGTGTCGCTCTCCGAGGGCACCACTGGCGTTGGGGTGGCGATCGCGGGCCTGCGCCATAGCATCGGGACCGAGAGGAGTTACGTGAAGTGATTGTAGATAGCGGTTGTGGTTATTTTCAATAAATTTGTAAAATAAAGTCAACATAGCCTTTGTGTTCATTTGCCCGGACGCGAATCCCCTTTTGAGACAGGTCCAGTGAAGGGGCGAAGAGGGAGAGTGTTGTCCAGCAGAGACGTACGAGAGAGAATAATAATGATATTTTCTCTCCAACAGTAAGTCACCTTGGGGAATGTAAAATCCACGTTATAACTTATATGATAAATTATTGATGAAACAAAACATACTCAGAGAAATAAGTATAAGAATTCTACTGAAAGCCAAAAATCTAAATTATGTCTCATTAAGTACATCCTATGTCAAAAGTGGTATTTAAATAAATTAATTAAACCATATCAAAATTACTTCCTTATTCAAATCATTTAAATTAATAATAAGTGCCTATCACCCTATGACCCAGGGCGTTTACTGGCCAATCTAATAGGTACTGAAATCTTAAATAATAACGCTAGCGCCTATCTACGGAAGCGCCTATACGCCATCTGCTTGCGATGTTGAAAGCACGCATCTTTTCACATAAAAGTTGCATAGTTGCGACCAAGCAAGCTAGCTCATTGGAGTGTAATTATATATGCATTGAGTATCATAGATTATGTTCAAATGTTTTAGGGTCATTTTCTGATGCCTTACTCTATCATTTAATAAATTAATAAATTACAACATTCAATGATAATTACAAAAATCTATCTAATATAAATTCATATAAAAAAATTTTTTTTTAATAGTTAAAATTTTATTTGTTTTAGATTTTAAAAAATGAACCCATTTATTGTGGGTAAAATAAAAAATACTTTGTAAAAGGATACTCTTACAAGCTTATATTGCACAAGCTGAAACAAAAGTATGACATACAAATTTTATCCAGAACATTGTGCAGGATTTTGAAGTGTAGCAATTTGAAAAGGAAAAATATTAAAGATTCAGATATTGAAAAAATTTTAATGGCTATACTACTAGAACTAGAAGGAAGTGGTGTTAATCTAGGTTACAAGGTAATGTGGCTAAGATTAAAGCAATTGTATGATTTGGACGTAAAACAAAATACTGTTTTGAAGGTATTACGTGAAGTAGATCTTGAAGGAGTTGACGGACGTTGCAGATATAGATTGAAAAGAAGAGTTTACTCAGTTCCAGGCCCTAATTTTATTTGGCACTGTGATGGAAATGACAAGCTTAAAAGATTTGGCTTTGCCATCTATGGCTGTATTGATGGCTTTTCCAGAAAAGTTTTCTTCCTTGATGTTTCCTCTACAAATAACGATGCAAAGGTAATTGGCAACTATTACTGTCAGTTAATTAAAAAACATTGATTCCTGACAACAATAATAAGGACAGATCATGGTTCAGAAGTAGTTGTCATGGAAAATATTCAAATTGCTTTGCGTTACAACCATAATGATGATTACGCAAAAACTGCAAGCTTTATGAAGGGTAAAAGCACGAGCAATCAGAGGATAGAGTCCTACTGGAGACAACTTCGCCAACATATGTGCGATTTTTACATAAACCTGTTTAAAATGATGGAAGCTGCGATGGTTCTGGATACGAATGACGCCTTGTGCACAGAAATTCTGCGATACTGTTTTGAGCCTGTCATCAAAAGAGAATTATACCTCACTAGAAAAGAGTGGAATCAGCATCGAATCCGCAAACAAAATAACATTCATAATATTAACGGCAAACCAAATGAAATTTTTGACAATTCTCATACTTTCAATGCTTGTGATTGCAGACAGACAGTTGATGTACGTAATGTACAGTATCTTCAAGAAGAACGTACAACAAAGCCGAGGCTGGCATCACCAGAGATTACCGACTTTGTTGAAACAGTTTTTGAAGTTCCAGAGATATACACAGCTGAGGATACTTACAATTTTTACAATAAAATCATAAATTACGTCAAGTCCAATGAACATAATTAGACATGCCTGAAATAGTTGTAAATGTTAATTGTATATCCGTATTGGAAGACATAAAGTTTTTTTATTTACAGTTTAAAATATGTAGTTTTATTTTCCAATTTGTTACAATATTAAAATATCATCAAATAATTTTTTTCAAGCGAATTACATATAAAATATGCTTTTCTTGTTCGTAAACGTACTTTTATATAAAATCTTGTTTACAGAAACAATTATGAAAACTGTTATTAAAAGCTATTTTATAATTATTTTAATTTAAAAATTAACTATCAATCTATACACATCAATGTGCTTTATCAAAATTCTTTTGAAATACATTACTGGGCCTAAAATTTTTAACTAGAGCACAAACTCAACAATCTCTGTATTCGTTGATGGCTTATTATAATGTCTTATATAATTATTAAACAATGGAGTAGCTTATGCGGTATTAAACTGTTAGAAACTATACATGTTAAAAAAATTGGGTTTTCATTAGTATACTAACATGTACACGACAATTTTTTTTAGAAAAAAAAAAACACTAGATATTATTTGTTCTTCGTGATTATTAAATGCATTTTTGGTATCTGAAAAATCAGAGAAAATCTTAGTGAATACATACCACACCTATTCATTAAGTTATTATAAAATACTGGTCTTTTATTTTTAACTAGATCACAGACTCAGCAAATAAATTATATCTATAAAAGCTAATCGAAACGCTTTAAAGAATTACAACAGTGTATTTTAAACAGTATCATATATGAAATAACCATGCCTGGTACAATAAGTATATATTAATGACCTTCAATTTACTTCTACACTTGAAAAAAGGTCTATCAGATCTATCATACGTGGCCGATGTTCTGGATCATATTCAAAGCAAGATTTTAATTTTTTTTTTTTAAATAAAGGAATATCATCCATGGCTGGAATATTTCTCATTTCTAAATTTTGTCTAACGCAACCATATATATCCCACGTAAAATCTGCCATATCCCATACTTTTTTTTTACTGTACATCTCTTTTAAGCATCATCCAAACGACGACACATCGCAAGCTGCAGTTGCTCCCTTCCTCTGCAAAAAAATTTCGGGGGCCATATACATATGTGTTCCACACATGCCACCTTTTATTGTAGAGACTAAACTGTTCTGTAACATTTCACATTTACCCAATCCTAGGTCACACAGCTTTACTAGGAAGTTCCTGTTGACCAATACATTTGAGGGCTTGACGTCTCGATGAATGATTTGAGGGGAATGTAAATGTAAGTAGGTAAGAGCCATGCTATTTTGATGAGCAATTGATTTCATATTATCTTGATCCAATGTAAATTGTTCAGAAATTGTTTTGTCAAACAAAATACTGTACAAGCAGAAGGATGCAAAGTACTCCATTATTATTTGAAGCTGTTGATCGGATTCTCCAAGAGCCATTATTGAAACAATATTAGGATGCCTGATTTGACTTAAAAGAGTGATTTCCCTCATGGTAACTTTGTCTGTTTGACCTCTCAACATTATTTTGACAGCCACTTCAGAACCACGAAAACTTCCTTAGTAAACCTTTCCTTGTGAACCTTTACCAAGAATAACACTACTTAGTTTAACCTGACTTACTGAAACTACTACAAGCTGCGTTTGTACAATCTTGGATTTTTGTTTTTGGGTTTCTGGTTCAACAAACTCAAACTCGGATGATTTTTTGGATTCTACAATTTCAGAACATTTTTTGAGACCACTACAATCAGGCAAGTCACTTATAGATAAACGCGTATCTGTATTGTGGGTTATTCGTTTTACATTTTGTGATGGCATGGAATACGAAGGTGATGGCTCAAATAATTGTGATGAGACATTAACATTTGCCTGAACTGAGTCAAGATTTTTGTTGGATTCCACTTTTCTAACTTTGCTATCTTGGACATGAGAGTATTGAGATGCGGGCTCTTGCAGTTTTTTACTGTTAATTTTATCCAAAATAACCATTTCATCACTCTGAACAGGACTCTCCAAAGTACTCTTTACCCTTGACTTTTCAAATGTTTTTGTTGTTTTAGTAGTATGCAGGTATACATGTATATAATGATCAGACTTTTTACAGTAACTTTTTCCATACGACCAAAAATCAATCGTTTGCCCATCAGAGTTCTCAAAAGACAAAATAATGTCACCATCAGATGTTCCTAAGTTAACTTCAGAGTTACAAAAGAAATCTTCATTCACATCGTTTATGTACTTTCCAGACAATATTTCTGTTAGTTCTTTTACTGAATAATTATAATTTCCATTTAATTCTACTTTTAACTGTCTAGAAAAAGCTACTTTGCCAAATTTTTCTTTTGGATTTACTCGATGCTTCCTACCTACATAAATAACTATTTTCAAATAGGGCTTTACTAAGGATTTTTTCTCTTGTTTTTTATTACTTATTTTTATGTCAGTTATCTGAAAATAGCAATATTTGATGGATAGTATAGTGATTATAATTATTGCAAATTTACACACTTGTTACCTTGGAACTTTTATTTGGAAACTTCTCCCTTATCTTTGACAGCATTTCATGATACACTTTTACTTTTTTTTGTTGAGGTTCTTCAGATTCTTTTTTATAATCAATAATTATAAATACATTTTTCAGTACGATGTTATCAAAGTTAAAATAAAAATTTGCTTACCATTATGACTATTAAATTTGTATGAAGATACTGATTCGTTTAAGAAGAAAAAATTTTCATCGGTCTCCAGCACAAACATTTGTTCGTTTATTTGGTATGTTAAAAAGCCTCCAGAGGGGAAAAGGTCCAATAATGTTGTTTTTCGTATTTTATTATTACTTACAGACATATTTATAACTTTACCAGCCATACTTAGTTCAACTGTCTTAATTTTCACAGACATCTACAATAAAACATCAATATTTCAATAATTTATGATGCTTTTAACATTACTTAGTTTTTAACGAAATTTACCTTTTCTTAATTAGCAGCAAGTCTCAGCAATCAAACATCAATACTACATAGCACCAGGATACGTCTTCAGAAAATGTAAACAACTACTAAAATATTTGAAAATAGCAAATAAAACTTAATTGCATGTATGATTACACTCAAATGAGCTTTTTTCAGTCAACAGTGGTACATACCTTAATCGTTTGAGCAAAAAACTCCTTTAATTTGTTAATTTAAGGTCCAATTCTCGTAATTTTATAAAAAGCAAACTTTCATGGTTAAGCACAACGTGCGTTGTTAGTACATAGCGTGGATACTACTACACGATCGTTTTGTGCATTGTTTACAGAAAAATATGCATGCTTCCGACTTCGCAAGCAGATGGCGTATAGGCGCTTCCGTACCTATCACCCAATGTTCCAGGGTGCTTACTGGCCACTTTAATGAATAATAAAATCTTAAATAGTAACGGAAGTGCCTATCATCGGATGACCCGGGGCGTTTACTGGCCAATCGAATAAATAATTAAAATGTTAAGTCACAACACAAGAGTCTATCACCTGATGACGCGGGGCGCTCACTGGCCACTCTATTAAATAATAAAATTTTATTTACTCACCTTTACATATTTTATTTACTTACCTTTTTTCATCTTCATGCAATGAAAAAAAAAATTATTAAATTAATGTAAGCTTTAAGAGTGTTGCTAAAAAAAATGTTAATAATAATAGTAATATATTTTATAACCATGCAATAACAGTATAAAGCGTGATATGATATACATTAATCAAATTTTTAGTGCACTGGTCATAACCAAATTGGAATTTTCACGTATAGTAGGTACTGTCTTTGGGAGTGCTTGTGTTATTGATAAAAATTTTATTATTTATCAGACTGCCCAGTAAGCATCCCAGATCATAGGGTGATAGGCACTTGCAGTATTATTCAAGATTTAATTTTTTATTAAAGTGACCAGTATGTGCCCTGGGTCATTGCGTGATAGGCACTTGCGTTATTATTTAAAATTTCATTATTTGTTAGAGTGGCTAGTAAGTGCCCCAGGTCATTTGTAAAAACAATAGCTCTAAGAATTAATTACACGTTGTGTTATAAATAAACATTATCTTGAATAAATTTATTTATTGTAAGAAATGTATTCATTACACGGTGTAAGCTACCTGCACACCGCTGGTACTATACAGCTGATTCAATACCAGCATCAAGAACTGGACCATCAACGCGGGAACACAAATATAGAAGTGACCAGAGTCGAGACGGTAACCTGAACTCGATTATCAAATCTCGATGTAGCCTGCATCGTTCACCAACCAATGTAATATATAGATAGCAAAAATCTGCCTGCATATATTGCATAGGTACCCTGGTACCACCGGTGTCCCGCGTTTTTTGGCCAAAGCAACGTGTAGCATTATCCATACATCTGCGACCCGTATTTCTTTTTCATTAACACTGCAAAAAATAAGCCCACATAAGTCTTTAAATAATATAAATATTCGTTAGATCGCTTATCCCCAAAGATGTCATATATTTCGACGTTTTAAAGTAGTTTCAAACCGTAGTGAGAATTTTTACCCTACCTCTCTGATGATGAAGACTCGCAATGATTTTCAATTGTTCATTGCAAAATAAATAAGGACTTCTGTTAGAAAAACGCATTGTCTTTTACAGCTACAAGACTTTTTTTTTCTTTTTAAGTCTTAGAAGAAGAAAGTCTTCAGCAGCAACTCGCAAGTGCGTTTCAAGAACAGGAGCAGCTTAAGCTGACCAATAAAAAGTTGGCCAAAGAATGCAACTACATAAGTAAAGGGATATCTTTATAGGAAATATTGAGATATTGTTGTTTCTTGATGATAAAATTATTAATAATTTCCAGGTATCAATAAAGATTTGTTAGACACAAAAATTTTTTTTTCAAATAGTTGTAAAAAGCTAACGTCTGAACTCTAAAACAAAATAGAGGCTAATAGTGAGCGCGAGAAAAAAAAAAATTTGCAGAGTGAAATAAATAAGTTGAAGCCAAAACAACAAAACTCTTTCAGGCCCAATAATAGGGGTGCAAACAATAATGTACGCCCAGTACATAATGTTTCTCAACATATTTCAATGCCGTACTCATCCTCAATGTACAGAGGTCGTCTAAATCTGGAGACCAAGAATATTCTGGGTTATTGAGATCTATAAATACCTTAGCAGAAGTTAGTACAAGGAATTATCTTAGTTTTTTTAAATTTTCTTGCTCACTTTTACTAAGTATATTTTATTTTCATAGTCCGTGAAGGAGCCTACTAATAGGACCCACAGAATGACAGCTATGCAAATCCATAATATGACAGCTATGTCAGTCCACAACATGACAGCTAGGCAAGTTATATTAACAAATCCTATATTTTCAAGTGCAGTAACTTTGCCAGCTCTTTATGCTCTCTCTACAGTACCATCATCAACTCAATCAGGAAGATCTGGATACATTAGTATCCCTCAAATTGCTGTAAGGGATATGTTACTAAAACAAATGACGACTCATTTTGACAAAAAGTAATTTATAAGTAAGAAAGGATACTTTTAAAATGTTGTCTTTTTAAATATAAACAATGTTTTTTTTGTACACATGACATTTTGAGTGCTGGAAATAAAATTTTATGAAGATGAAAAATCATTTTGCTCATTTGTAAATTGATTTATTCCTTTATTTAAACAGATACAGACTGAAAACAACATAATGGCGAGTATTAGCTAATCTTTCTTATCATAGCGTCCGTATGGACGTAAAAGTGCTGAAATGTACATGAGAAAAATGTATGTAGGTATTATCCTTAACATTAAATAATTTGTTTATCATAATTTAGAATTTTTGATATTGTTAAATACTACGTATTAGGTATTAATTTTCATGAATCATCTTACTATTTTGTACGAAAGCTTGTATGGCTCACTGGCCACATGTAGCGCTAGCTGCTCTCTCGCGTTTTACTTTGGTTCTCTTTTCTCTCAACCGGAGGGAAGTGATCCTCATTTTCCTTTTTCCCGCTTGAGAGAGCACATTCTCTCTTTTTGTATATAATTGTAAACAGTAGATTGTAGGTTATGTTGAATCATAAAAATTTTGCAAGAAAGTAGTCAAATTGCTGAAAGTTATTCAAAATAATTATTAAGTAAAAAATAAAAATTTCCATCAATTTTTATTTCCTAAGGTAGATTTGGAGAGGCTGCTTGCTCACGGTGCTTTGTGGATTTTTATCTGTCCATGCAAATAATCAGCAGCTATCATGGTAAGACTTTCCAGATGAATTTTTTTAATTATTGTGGTAAATTGCATCGCAAACATATATGTATGTTTGATCGTTTTGCAGCTCGCAGCTTCGAGAACTCAGATTGTAGCTGTTCCAGGCATGCAGTCAATTAAAACTTTTCTAAGGAAAGTTTTGTAAGTAAAACTTGGCAGTCCACGTAGCGTGTTTGCAGTTTACAATTATTACATCGTTTCTTGATACATTATTAGTAATTGGTGAAGATAGAAGTAGTGCGTACTGCACATTAAATCTGCCCTTT